CAACACCAATTCAGAGGACACCCCTTTTAAGCTGTCTCTTATACACATCTAGATGTGTATAAGAGACAGTTATTGAGGTGTTATTTGTTGCCAATAATTATATATATTACTGTTGATATCGTTGCTTGGCTGATACGTAAGTAAGAAACCCAGATTATTAATGAAGAATAGGCCTAGGCATACCGTACCTACTAGGCCTCTAGCTAGCCCAGGCGGTCATCTACCCTAGCTAGGCTAGCTAGTGGCCCATGCCTAGGAAGATCGACTAGCTAGAGATGGCCTTAGCCGTGTGAGGATTTAGCAACTGGAATTCTCATGAAGTACATAATATTATAATAGCCCTATTGATTTCTGATAGATAATTTTCAATTGATGTCAACAACAACAATGACAAAATAACAAACAAAAAAAATATTATTTATAAAAAGGATTGTACAGTAAACAATAACACATCAACAATAATGCCTGGTGGTAGTAACAACAACCACAATGATAAACAACAACAACCACAGTGGTTAAAAACGAAATGATAGTTACTAATTACAAAGCAAACCACAGTCCACAGTGAGTGGTAGCAACAATGAGATTACCTTTACCAAAAAACAAAAATGAAATCATGAACAATAATGATAATAATTAAGTTAAAAAAACAATTTTTGTTTTTGCTCTCTGATGTAGTGATGATCTATTTTTATTTTAAAAAAAAGTGGTGGTGATACATAAATAAACATTCTCAACATGATCTATTTATTACAATGAAAATCAAGGTGGGCATCTACATCCAGATCAACCAGCCATCCTGGCAAAGTGCCACTGGTACAAAGCATCCAGATCAACCAGCCAATCCTGGAAAGGTGCCATCAGTACAAAGCATCCAGATCAACCAGCTATCCTGGAAAGGTGCCATCAGTACAAATCATCTAGATCAACCAGCTATCCTGGAAAGGTGACATCGGTACAGAGCATCCAGGCCATCCGTACTGGAAAGGTGATACTATAATAGTCCCAGTTCTCTGCCATCCACTCTTTCGGTCATGGGCCTGAAGCTTACCGACTGTAATGTATGGTGGAACTGTTTGAATCCGTATGCTGATTAAGGTTGCAGACCTGAATTGGAAAGTTCATAGTGAGTAGATCTACAGTAAAGTAATTGTGAACAATATAACTTCATACAGTATATACTTTTTTTTTGTAATTTGTTGCTTTGTCTGACAGAGGTCAAATAAGTCAAAGGTTAGATGTTAAGGGAAGTAGGTCAATAAATTCAAGTAAAATACTGTATTATCAAGCGGAGAAAAATGTCAACAAAATATCCTACTGTATCAGAAAGTATTTGGCCTAAATTGTAACTAATTTATTTTTCTTCTGCTAGATGAAATGCTGATCATAAATTAAAGGGCAGACAGTTGTAGGATGCGAAGAATTTCATCACTTGTTCTCATTCTCATCGTTGGCGCACTCTTCCTCATGCTTCAGATGTTCATTATTCATAAACTCCTTGAAAGGAACAAATCTGAGGTATGTGTCTTTCATTTAAGGACATTTCTGAATTAATTAATTTTAATCCATACTGGAACATCTTGAATAGTTCTAATAATTGTTTGGCTTTGATATGATTTGTGATTTTTAAACTATGATTTTTTTTTTTAATTTTTTTTTTGGTAATCTAGATATTAAACTTTCTATTGAGAAACACCTTCCCCAGTAACTCACTGATGAAATATATATACAGTAGAACCCCTCCTTTGGGACACCCCTATTATAAAGGAACACTTTTTCAGCCATGAAATGAGCAATATCTTTTAACACAATGGCCAACCCCAATTCAGAGGACACCCCTTTTAAGGGGACACTTTTTTTCCTCCCAAAGTTGTCCCCTTAATACGGGTTCTACTGTATTATCTTGAATAATGAATTCAAAGGTTATATCAAGTGTGATTGATTTTCTTGTGTTTTTCATAGGTACTGACTGTGAATAGCCAGGCACCAGTGCAGTATGTAAGTTGGACCATGGAGGTATTATTGAGAAGGCGATCACTCGAAAAAGCTTTGCGCACGCAGCGCTATGTAAATGAGGCAAGAGCAAAGCTGCCTTTGCGTGTGAAGAACGCATGCGCGATGTGTTTGAAGTCTGATGTGTTCCCCGCCACCACATGGTGAGCAGGCTTTAGTTTACCAAAAAATTGAAAGAACACGGAGAAATGGAGAGCATCTTCTTTTCTCAATGCGCACAACTTACAGTCAATCACTATGGCTGCGCAATCATTTCCACCTTGAAGCTAACACATTTATCTTTCCAAAAATACCAAACATAAAAATATTTTCTACAAAAATGAGTTTCGAATTTAATGAAACATTTACACCAGCTTTAAAGGTATGGTATATTTCAACTTGAATTTCCATAAATTGGATAAAACTTGATAATTCTAATTTTAACAGGTGTTAATTAAGGAATGATTGAGGATTATAATATTAACTAAGTCATTTTCGGGTTAACGAGGGTTAACTATTTGAAAATTAAATCCAAAATCAGTAATTTTCTGTTTTACACTGCCTTAGCTTTATAGTCGAACCAATTGATCTTTAGACAAAATTATAATGAACATATAATTAATTGTAACTGAAATATTTTGCGGAATCTGTTCCTGAAATATACACATAATAACACACTAAAAGTCCAAAAAAATCCAATCGGGGAACATTGTTAATCTTAAAGATATTTAATGAGTTAAAATCAAACGGGTTATCTCACAACTGCTGTGTTGAAGCGTATAAACGCATGTCGTTGCAAAGTTGTTGCTAACAGAAAAATGTGAATAATAAGATAATACGCCTGCGCGCGATCCAACGGCGGGGAACACATTGGTTTGTCACGTCAAAGAATCTGTTGCCAAGTGATCTCCTTCTCAGTAATACCTCCATGGTTGGAATGTCCAATATTATGAAATTGTCTGTGACCAATATCTGTGATTTGCCTTTATACAATTGTCCAAAGTCTCCCGTAAGTAGTCTCATAAATCAGGAAGTTCTCCTGCACTCCTGTGAACCAGGCTCCCGAAAATTCACAATAATTGCAAGTTTTGACTGCTGTATTACCAATTGTCTCCCTGAAGTCTGTGCCAATGGGTGTTTACCCCCCCCCCCCCCGATCAAAATCAAAAAATAATCTGCCTATCCATTGTTAGTCTAAAAAGCACCATTTGGACCATATACTAAGCCATAAAAACTGACTGAGGCTCTAGTAAAAATGGACTTAAATGCAAAATGTAAACCTGTAATTAAAGGGGCTAATCATCTGAAATCTGCAATTAATGATGTCATAATGCAAAAATTCCAAGGATTTGTGTAATAAGCGTAGGAGAGAAGGAGCAGTTGTCCTTCAGAAGTCTAATTGGAAAACCATTTGAAGACCATTTTAATTGATCGTTCATCCCACAGAGAGCTGTTAGTCTGTTTATGTCAGTGGTGAATGAATTATATGCTCCGGTGTTTTTGGTTGAGCCATCATTATTGACTGCCATTATGCAGAAAAGACTTGGAAACCTGAAGAAGAAACATGACTGTGAATTTTTATGCACAAGTCGAAACAAAACAACATTTGCAGCTGTAGGGCATCTACTTGTGCAAAAGGTAACAAATGTGATTTATCTTTCTGGTTTATAAATGTAAAATAATTTTTTAATTTAAACTATATAGAGTGACCGTTCCAACTACGTCCAGAATGTCAGTAAATAAAATAATGTGCTGCACTATAAAATTAATCTCATTACAAGGTTTGATCATTTTAGTTGTGTATTTTTTTTATTATTATTTAGTAGGAATAAGCTACCCAGTATGCTTGAAAAATAATGAATATATAATTTAATAATGTAACAAATTTTGAGGAGTTGACCTATGGACCCTAAAACACATTTTAACAAATTCTATAGGCCTGCCAGACCTAGCCCAAAAAACATAAATAGCAAAAGAATGAGCTCTTTGCATAATTTGCATTAAATTTGATGGTATGTCCGCCCTCTCTAGAATGGAGGAAAGTTATTTCATGGATTGGAGAAACCGATGAAAACAAATGAACCAGAGAGTTATCCAAACAATTCAAACCAATCAAAGATATAGCGTTGCCGCTCGGATGGATTAAAATTGCTCTCATAGACAACCTCATGAGGCGTTCCACTATATCATGAACTACTCTATCTTTTGCTATTCATTATCTTTGCCTAGCCCCAAAGCATCTAATAACTCTGGCAAAATTGGAGCTTCCAAGCTGAGTGATTGCTAAATCGGGAGAGGTTGTAGCCAGCTTATACTCTGAAAAAATTGAAGAATCCTACCTCTAGGTGCTTGAAATTGGTATGTTTAAAAGCAACACACATGAAATTACACTACAGTATTCCACACTTTAGTAATTTGTACTACTGCAAATAAAAAAAACTTTCCTTCTTAACCTGTAATTTATTTAACAAAAAATTATAAATTTCTGTTTTAGGAAGAGTTACTGAGTTCCTTAGAAAATCGAGGTTTTAAGATTCTGAAGACAGAAGGACCAGATCCACAAGTGACATCACACCACCACACTACATCAAACCTTGTCCCATATCATTACCTCTTGAAGTATCAAAACCACTTAATTCACCTAGTTCTCTTCTATGAAAGGAGCAGTTTATATTTCTGGAAAGCACCACTTAAGTTACCGGAATTGAGCAGTCTTAACCTACAAGAAATTTATCTTCAAAATGGCACATTTGCAAGCCCATATTCGGCAGCTATCAAAAAGTAAATTATTATTCATAGAACTTATTGGATCATAATAATTAAATATCCTACAGCTAGTTTGTTTATGACCAGCTAGGGTACAGTATCGAATTATTCCATTTGTGTAAATTACACATTGGAAATGATTGTTGAATAATTAATTCATGTGTTCTTAAAACTTGTCCGTTTATTGTTGAGTGTAGTAGCTTTGAGGAGGAACAAGCATTTGCTCTAAGAGATAGGCTTCATTGGAGCTTGAGCCACAAAAAGTTATTAAAAAACTAATTAATTTTGAATGACAGCTCTGCAGTAGTTTAAATTAGACATCTAAATACCTGAAAGACTGTAGCTTTAGATGACATCTTCCCCATGCCAGACTCCCACTTGGTTCTACTACTGAACCCTGCTACGGCCTAGGATAGGTAGCCCCAGACCTCGCCATTGGGCCCTGGTAGCCAACCACTACAGGTCCCAGTACTCAATGACATGCATTTCACTACAAATATGCTTTTAAACTTTCTATTAAAAACAGATTATCACTATTTATTTCACAGGGCTGAGGTAACAGAAATTAAAATTGATGGTATTTTCCTGAAAGTTCCAAAACGGCCGAATCAATTCCTAACAAGTCTTAAAAATTCAAAGTTCCTGGAGTGTAATTACCAGCAAGCTGAGGAGTTTTATAGGGCGTATCCAAAAGATGAGTCATTGGTAGCACTTGATTTTAAAAGTAAAGCAGTTCAGGTGATATCTCAAGGACAAAAGATTTTGGATGAGTTAGGGGTTCCATTTTGGCTCAGTAGTGGTACTTGCTTGGGTAAGTTTTTGTATTGTGCACTAATCACAATTATATACATCTACTTTTTGTATACCTCTATGTTGTAATATGATGGTGCTTGTGTAGCTATACTGCATTTGCATATGCACCACCACCTTTGGAGTAGTATATAGTGTTGTAAAAAACTTGATGAAAAAAAGTAATTCATTTTTAAAGACTTGTGTTTTATCATACAGAACTAGTTGTTATATGGTTATGTTGGTTGTTGTTTCCAACACCAGCTCTTTATATGGTGGCAGTGGTGGGATTCAAATCCATGTCAGAGAAATTACTGGCACTTGTGTTGTATACCTCATTTGCATATGCACCACCTGTGTGGTAGTATATAGTATTGTAATAATAATAATAATGTTGTATTTATATAGCGCATATTGCACATTGCCCCTATGCGCTTTACAGAGAAATAATATAGGCCAACTGAGAAAAAGCAAATAACAATAAAATAGTAACAATAAAATAAGATAAAAATAATCATAATAGCAATAACAATGAGACTAAACTACTCCTATTCCTTAAACTAATTAATGGTTGGCCGTTGACTCCGAGGAGCCCTTTGTTCAGCTATTGGTTTTTCTTGCTGCTGGGTGACCATAAACACCCTCCCCTCAGCAGTCACTAAGACATTTGAGAGGGTTGTCAGTTTAGTCGCCGATGCTTCGACTGGATGGAGTTTAATGTTGTACCCAGGATGTCCCTAACTACTCTTAAATACAGTATACAGTTACTCTTGTAATAAAGCCTCATGCTCTTATCATGCAGAACTGGTTGTTGTGTGGTTATGTTCATTTCCAACACCAGCTCTTATACATGATGTCTCTGTTCTTCTGGTTGCTCTTGTACTATTATTCATCTTCGTTTTTTCCTTAGGCTGGTTCAGGGAGTGCAATATCATACCACACAGTAAAGATGTTGATTTTGGTATCTGGGTGGTTGATTACAAGCAAAGTATAATAAGTGCATTTGAGATGAATGGTTGGATGTTGAAACATATTCTAGGAAAGGTAAGTTAAATATTGTACAAGTCTCCCTTAAATTAAAGATCCCTCCAATTAAACACCACCTCCATTTTAAAGACTATATTTCTGTGGTCCTAAATTTACAAATGTCTTTTTATCTTTATTACTTTAATTAGAGACTAAAGCTGCTAATGACCATGGAAACCCCAGTCTCAAGAGCGGTCTTTAATTGGAGGGTATTTTTATATCTGCACTCACATATGTTTATATCTGTATCCATATTATTACTACTTATTTTTACTTAAATTAATATATACATTTTATTTTAGGTTGAAGATAGTTTTGAATTATCATTTCTTCACAACAACGGTTTAAAACTTGACCTGTTCTTCTTTTACGAAGAGAAAGATCATGTTTGGAATGGTGGTACTGATGTGTATACTGCAGCAAAATACAAGTAAGATTTTTTGCAGAACTTAGAGATGTTAATTCATGACATAAAAAACAATTATTATACAATATTGAGGGCATTAATGGAATTGACCCAAAGGAGACATTATTGTCTGAAAAATGGCTGCAGGGACTGAAAATATTTTTTAAATTTCATAACTTAATTTGATAGTGGTGATATTAATGAGTATGATAATAAATATAATTATAATGGCCATAATAATAATAATAAAATAGTAATGATGATAACATGTAAAATATGAGGGTTTTAAACTTTTACAGTTGATAGTTTAAGCCACAACTGCCATGCAAATCCTACTCCCAATAACAATAACAATAGTAATGATAATACACAATGTAATACCTAAAATTATAGTAAGATTAATCATCATAATTAAAATAGATGATAATTATAAAAGGAGTTATGAAGGTCTAATAATTAATGTTAAAGATAACAATTATAATAATAATAGTATGGTTAAATTTAGTATCAATAATAATGCAAATGATTATAAACTTATAATTCTAGCATCTTTATTTTGTAGGTATAGTTTTCCGAAGTTCAGTTTGTGTTGGACTGAGTTTCAATCAATGCTTGTACGAGTCCCTTGTGAGACCCAACCATATATTGAAGCTAACTATGGTAAATATTGGAGAAAGAAAGTTGAGGAATGGGACTGGAAGAGCAGCCCACCAAATGTTAGAGAGAATGGACATTGGCTGGAAGAAGAATACCAAGATGTTATACAAGTGTTCTAAATTCTGACATGTGGTTGTCTCCGGACTAATGGTGCTGCCAAAAAGGCCAGTTTTAAGAAAATAAAATACTTTACATGTGTGCATTATACTGAAGAAAAGGTATACTGATCTCGCAGGAGTGTCTCGGCTACCTTCCGCTATCCAACCAACTAATCAAAATGACACGTGAACTTCCAAGGTGTTTTAATGTATTCACTGCAAATCTCAGTGTTGATTTTCAACCAAAAACTTTTGTAAGTCCTTGCTTTAACAGGTTAACTGTAAACATCAACATGGAAACATTATTATAGTGCCCTCAATTGATATATGTGCAAAAACTCGAAATAAGCTGTCAACTGATGTGATCTGTATGGTAGATTTATTCAATTTTTCTCATTTAATTCTGCAATAACAGCCATAATAAACAAGCTTCACATCAGTATTTGCTAATATCATTAGCATTTACATAACCAATTTCAAAATATTTAACCGAGGAATCATAATATACATTATAATCATCTTTAATCATGATAGATATATTTAAAAATGTTGATCAATCACAATAACAATGAATTTAATTGTGTCAACAAAAAAACTGATTTCGCACATTTTCAAATTTACAAATTGTGCATTCCCTGCTTAGCAATATTTTCGGGTTAGCAACACTTTCTGGTTAAATTAATACATGTAACATACGTTTCCAGAATTTCTTTAGCCAAGCCTACAGAAATCGCACATTTATTGAGATTTCTACCAGGCCCTGAATTTAACCAACATATTAAACGTGGTACATAATCTTGGCATTATTAATCTCTCTACCGACATAGGGCGCAACGTTTACGTAACACTAAAAACTTCTTTCCAGATTAAGTCCCTAATATTTTGAGCATTACCCCATTGTTTTGTTGATGTATGCAAGAGTATTGTGGTCTGTAAACACTTCCATTTTTGCTCTGATCAAATACTCCTGCATTTCTCTGCTACTGCCCACTTTACCTTGCTAGGCTAGTCAGGCTAAAAATAATTTATTTCATTATAAAAAAACCAAGAATCTTGTCCATTTTATCGTAAAATGAACACGTCGTTTACCCACACCCACTCTAATTACTGGGGTTTTTTTGTTGTTCTGTACTTTTTTCAGATACTCAATGCAATTATTCATGTGTACAATGAACAGCAATACTTTCCCATCCCCGGGCATTATACTTCATGCCTTCGAATCCCTGCTTATGTTCTTTTTCACCCCAAATCGATATTAGCGCTATAATTCTCCACGCGTCCAGTTTCACTTTCTTTTTCCGACATCTTGTTGTGTTGCTTGGCTGTCCGCCTTCCTTCTTTTGCTTCGGTCTTTTTCTGCTGTATTTCGGTTGTTTTGTGATGGAAGTGGCTTGTAAGGGTCGCTTGTAATTACTAAAAATGCACATAGTTTTGACAGACGGCATTTGCACAGCGGAAGTAAAGGTCAAGATGTAGCACCCTCATTATTTGCTTTTCACAGCCTCAGAAGTCTTACCGCGACTGGGGTGAAACTTTCCAGAAAAGTCAGACAGCGGTAAGATTTCTTCTACCATGGTCTCGGTAATATTTTTACCAAAGTAAGTCCAGTGCGAATGAGGCTTAATTCTAACAGTTCTATCTTGAAACTTGAGTAGGCTGGGTATGCCTTTTCTACCTTTTTGAAGATATGTCAAGAACTGGCCATCATGAAGCCTTTGATGGGTTACCGGTGAGCGCATGCGGAAGTGCAATCTGAGGGATGCCTTTTACGAACTGTAGATAATAAGAGGCGTGCCCAAGAAAGGACTGAAGTTTAGTTGCTGTCTTTGTGGTTGGCCATTGTTTAATGGATCTAACCTTCTCTGGGTCTATAGAGATGCCTTTAGCTGTTACTGCATGACCGGTGAATGAAGTAAAATATTGTGCTCCTCTAGTGTTTCCTCGATCGGTGAAGGGGAAACGAGTCCCTGATAGTCTTGCGATTAAACTGCTTATAGTCTATACACATGCGCAGTGTACCATCTCTTTTCCTGACTGGGACAATGGGGCTGGCATACGGGGATTTGGAGTATTTTATAATATCTTTTATTTATATTTATAATATCCTTTTTTTTATAATCACTCTCTGCAAAGGCATCTTGGCTGTCTGCTATTAATCTAGCCCTTGTTGATCACCTTCCTTCAGGTCAACTTCAGGGGGTAGTACTACTTCACTGCCATCCTGACACGCATAAGTATTAAGCTCAGATGGGTTGCTAGCTACACCAACTAATCGGACATTACCCTCTTTTAAGTTTTCTTTAACAATGTCCACAACAGCAACTGCTACAGTGCCATTATTCTGCTGGATCTCAACTTCAATCTTGCGCTCTACACCAACAGCAGCTACAATTGTTGCACCGGGTACCAAAGTTAATTTATCCGAGGACTTGTTTACCATATTGGACTTTGTTATTATCTATCAGGGAACAGCCTTTTACAACATCAAACTGGTGTTTTCCCGTCCTGCAGTTTGGATTTAACAAACACATCGCTGTCACTCCAGCCCTTGCCTTGTACACTGCACTCCACTCGACAGACCGACAATGGGGGGATGTCTTGGCTCTTAACAACAGTAAGATTTACAGGATGATCAGCTAATGCCACACCAGTACCTAATGAAAACTGCTCTTTGCCTCAGCATCAATATCTTGGAGAAAAAAATGGGTGCTACACCATCAATTTCAATATTTGAAACTGAGCTTGGAGCAATCAGAAAATCTGGTAAACTGCCAGTTCCCACAGTAACTACACCAGTTAGACCTGAAGTTGGCTGTACTGGTACTACTCCACCGACATGACTTGCGGTAGGCTGCATTTATACAACTCCATCAAATTTTATATCGGTATCTTTATTTAAAAAAAGTTCCTTCATTAAAAAATACATTTGCAGCAAAATGCTGAATTGTAGTATTTTGTATAAAAAAATGTACAACAAGAGTTAGATAAAATCTAAGAGTCAGACTTTCATAAATAATTTCCATAACCTTTAATGGTTTTCTAGATGGAAACTTATTAGGCGACTCATGTTCCTCGGGAAACAGTGGCATATCTAGGGGAGGGCATGGTGGTGCCCCTCCCCCCCCCCAGTCGCCACCAAAAAATCACGCTCAAGTAGTTAAAAATCACCTAAAATCACCTCGACTGATCATCGAGCCCCCCTCCCCACACTTCACCTTCGTGCCCCCCATCATTTCCCCTTCCCAATTCAAGACTTCTAGATACGCCACTGTAGGTCCAGGTCGTTTAATCTGTTGTCTTTGGTGCAAATCTGTCAAAAGGGGGGGATACTTCATTAAGCTTCTTAATTTCTGCAACCCTCTCTCTCCAAGCGTTGTGTAAGTAATTTGGTAGCTTGTTGAGTACTTGGAAAACTCCATGAGGATAATTTAGCATACTGAGGCTGGGAAGATCTTTCATCTGTGCTGTAGTGTCAACTCAGATGTCTGAAAACTTTGAACTCTGAAAATTTTAGAAATGTGAGTTTATTTAATACCAACCGCTATTTTCTACTCTTTCCGAAAAAATGTTTGTAGTTCGACCCATGCCTCCTTGTATGCTTTGTCAGGGTTGCTCGCATGGCAATTCCCAAATCTGTCTCATCTGTCTCAAATCTGTCCCAAAAGACCTCGTGTGCTGGTTGAATTTGAAGCGCTAATGTATCACTTATTTGTATAGTGAGTTTGTTAAGTTCTTCTCTTTTACGTCTTTCAATTCTACACCAGGTGCAGTTCTATTTGTGTAGAAACCTCTATTGGTGAGTGGCTAAAGTTATGTAATGACCATTGAACACATTTACCACTTCGTCAGAGTCTAAAGGTTTTCAAAATGAAGCATCTAGTGGCACCTGTGAGTGAGATGAGATTGGCATACAATTAAAATTCAGCTGGACTTCGTGGTCACTGGAACAGCTTCAAAAGTTGGCTGCGTGATCATATGATGTCTGGTTTCAAATTCTTCCTTTATTATTGCGTCAGAGCGTGCTGTCTCAACAGCGGCTTCTTGTGGTGCCCTAAGGATTCTGAGTTCCGTTTACCCAGCTGCATGTTGTTTCATGTGGACGTACTCCTTCTGCTGTAGTTCAAGTTTAATCTTGGCTTCAGGGTCAACACCACAAAAATGCAATTGACTACTGACCTATTACTACACCATAGCTTCCTCGTACCAGCCTATTATTTAGTGTCTGGTCTTTCATTAGCTGAAGGGCTTGTCGTTGCTCTTCGATTTCTGCAGAAACCTCCGTCCTGTCATACAACTACAACAAGGAATAATTGGAATATTTTCCAAAGTCTCTCGTGGTTATTGAACTCTCTGAAAATTTTAGAAATGTGAGTTTATTTAAAATACCAACCGCTATTTTCGACTCTTTCCGAAAAATTTTTTGTAGTTTAACCCACGCCTCCTTGTATGCTTTGTCAGGGTTGCTCACATGGCAATTCCTAAATCTGTCGACTAAAGCCTTTTTGTGTAATTGGCAAGAAAGTCTAATTTTTTAGTAGAAAGTATAACGGCCTGATTGAATGCCATGGTTGAAACATCAAGGGATCATCTTCATACTCATCGGCCTTTCTGACCTTAGAGTGATAAACAAGGCAGGGAACAATGTCCTGGCATATTAAGATACCACAGTAACACAGTTCCTCATATATACTAATCTAATCTAATCTAATCATATTTATTTATATAGCGCCTTTCTTTGCAGATACGAAGCACTTTTGTCCCTGGTCATTGGATCCACATGCTAAGTGTTGCTGCTGTATTCAGCGCAGGAGCAAGCAACCCCACCAGTTACCCATTTATACTCCTGGGTGGAGAGAAGCAATGCAGATAAAGTGCCTTGCTCAAGGACACAAGCGAAATGCACAGCGATGGAATGAAACCCCGACCTCAAGGTTGGGAAACCAAACCTTTCATGCTGCGCCAAACCGCTTCCACATACATTCCATATACTACATACAGAATCCACAACAGTTATTGATACTTTCATCCTCTTTCATCTTGACTGCCCAAACTGTCACAATTCCGTGGCAACTTCCTACACTTGCAAATCTACAAAAGATTTTGTGAGCGAAGCTAGCGCAATCTGTCTCAAATGACTTTTTAAGTTTCCGCCTGCTTCCTCGTACCAGCCTATTATTTAGTGTCTGGTCTTTTATAGTTGAAGGGCTTGTCGTTGCTCTTCGATTTCTGCAGAAACCTCCGTCCTGTCATACAACTGCAACAAGGCATTGGTGGAATATTTTCCAAAGTCTCTCATGGTTATTGCACTCTATTGTGCAAAGAAATTGTCAGTGCCGGCACCTTCTTGCCAGGGCCAAATCAGACTTTTACCAATCGTAGTAGTTCTGACCTCTGCCTTGTACTACTGCAGAATAGTACTAAACTAATGTAATAGATCAAAACAATATAAATAAAATAAAATATCATAAAAACAGTACTCAATTTCCAACCACAGGTACACACATCTGTTGACTGCTCCAGCCCGCAAAAGAAAAGAAAACATGTTCATCTCCGTAGGCCTATTTACAGTACTGTACATGAAATCCCTGATAAAATGTAGCTACGCGTGGCGTACGAGCGCAACATGTGGAAACAACAAACAAAATAGTTTCTTATAGAAAAGCATAAGTAATCACAAACCCAGCTTCTCACAATAGCACTTAGCTCTTTCACGATCCAGTATCTTCTGATATAACTGAAAATTTGCCCATAACCAGCACTATAAATAATATAAGCATCTCTGTTGACTTTTGATTAACAGCCTTGTGATTAGATGTTTGGGGTCTAAAATAACTGCATGTGCAACTATCTGCGCATTGTTTGCTCTCCTTAGCCTACCGCCAATCTGATCAGTAACATTTCTCTATCATACTTGGGTGTTACTATCCTGTCATGACTTGCCATTCCTGAGCAAGAAGTATTCTTCTTTAAAAGATCCTCTTTGTTCTGGTCTTAGCATCATTTTTTCTTTGATTAACAGTGCACTTATGACTTTCTTCTCATCATCATCTTGCATCTTTGCATGGTAGGCCTCCTGTAGATCTTCCCATTTTCATATGACTTCAAAGCGATATCGTCACTTAAAATTCAACTGTAAGTTGTTCACAGATCTCTGATCTCTTCTCTTTGCAACCTGTCGACCCTTAACTCTTGTCTTCACAACTTGGGATAAGTCACGGCAAGATTCAAAATACCTGTTTCCCCGTTGCAGTCACAGTCTTATTTTGATCTCTGCCACTTAAATTGAAAGAAACTGTGTAAACTATCCAACTGGTTTCTTAAGCCATCCAAGGACGATTTTTTTTCCTGATCAACTTAAAATAGCTAAGGTTATCCCCATTTTCACAAAGCTGGCCCTCCTGACATTTTTTGTAATTATCGTCCAATTTTCTGTTCTTCCTGTGTTCTTCAAAATCTTTGAACGTTTGATTTACAATAGACTTTATAATTTCATTTCTCGTTATAATTTACTATGCAATACTCAGTTTGGTTTTCTTCATATATGGTTCTTTTAGAAGCATACAATTGTATAGTCAGCAATTTAGATAACAATCAACATACTCTTGGTATATTCCTAGACATTTCAAAGATGTTCGATACCATAAATCACGATATTTTGCTGGCCAAATTATTCCATTATTGTGTTCGTGGTCTAATGTGGACTTCCACAGGGATCTATATTGGGTCCTTTACTTTTCATCCTCTTTATTAATGATATTTTTCACACGTCCAATGTATTTTCATTTTTCATATGCTGATGACACTAATATTATTGTTTCTCACCCCGATTTTGATAATCTAATTTCTCTTGTCAATAATGATCTTTGTAAATTATCCACTTGGTTCAAAGCAAATAAACTTTCCTTAAATATTGCAAAAACTATATATTATACTGTATTCAGAAATAGGCATAGTGATCGTAATTATCCCGACATTAACATAAAAACTGATAATGTTACGATTTCTAAGGTGTTACGTACTAAGTTTCTAGTATTACGGCGAAATATACTGGTTTTTTATTTAAGGTCAAAAAATCGCTTCCCAGTGATGCATTATTTTCATTATATAATACATAAGTTCTTCCTCATTTAATTTATTGTAATATTATATGGGCTGATGGCAACAATTGTAACCTTCGTTCCATACAACTTAAACAGAAACATATCTTTCGGTTATGTTCTAATGCTCAACGATATGATCATACTGCCCCTTTATTTGTTAAATTCAGTACTCTTACTATATATGATATACATAACTTGTTAAAAGCATTATTTATGTATAATTTTGTTAATAGCCTTCCAGTAAATTTTTACAATTATTTCATCAAAAACCAATCTTTTCACAGTTATGTAACCAGATCAGCTTGCATGTACAGTATCACCCTCAAAATGTTCACACTGATCTTGCAAGACACACTATTACAACTCAGGGACCCATATTATGGAATAGAATTAATGAACAATATAAGAAGTCACCAACAGTACATACTTTTAAGGATTGTTATAAAAGATATCTTATTTCCAGTAGGTCCACTGATAAGTTTAAGATAACTTAGTATAAAGCATACTCCAAATAAAGTAAGACTAGTCATTTTGATTCAATATTTCGATCTTTTATTAGATCATCATCAGGAATGAATAAAGATTCCAACATTACAAACATATATTCCAGAGGTGTTACAGAAAATTAACCAATGAGAAACAGTCAATAATGTAGCCATATCTTATTTTTTTCTTGTATAAGTAATTAAGTTATATTTAATTGCAAAATAATTTGCTCTTTACTACACACTTCATTGTTTGATATATTGCCAACATGATGTCCATGTCCTGTTTGTCTGTTTGTCTGAGTCAATGTCACTGATTTTTTTGTTTTTTTGGTATATTTTCTATATTGTGAGTGTACTGGCATTTTTTTTTAATTTTTTTTTTGCTTGGGCACCTCACTTAGGGTGGCCATCTCATCGAGCTTTGCTCTTATTGATAATTCCCTTCCGTTTGCTTTTATTTATTTTATAAAATTACGCATTCTATAAAATTCTGATATTTTCTATAGAATGTTGTATTTCACTCTATAGAAAATTAGTTTGTTGCACAATTTATGTATTGGTGACTCAGCCCTACAGTCGATTTTCAATAAAAGTATTATTGCAGCATCTTCAAATTTATACACCTTTTAAAGAAATCCATCAAGATACAATTTCTATAGAATTTTTTTGCCTCTTAGCTTCTATAGAATTCTATAGAGCTCTATAGAACTTTTTTGTATGGGTGTATGTATTATCTTTGTGGGTCATCTGATTTTATTATGACAGGCAGGTTTGTTTGTAGACGTCTTCTGTACAACAATTCTCCCGGGCTTGGTAATTTTGCATAAATGGGGTTGCGTGCAGACACAATGCCATGTCTGGGTCTGAACCAGACGTGTTGCACTTCAGTAATCGTTGATTTGATGGTCTGGATCATCCTCTTAACAAAGCCATTCAATCTTGGGTAGTGCGTTGAGCTTGTTTTGTGCACTATTTTCCAGTCTTTGCAAAATTGCTTATACTGCTGGGAGGCAAATTGTGGGCCATTGTCCGAAAAGATGGTGTGAGGCGAGCCTTGTTCTGATATTATTCGTTTAGTCGCCTGTATTTTTACACTGCTTGTGACATCCTTTGGCATTTTTCTTAAGAAGAGCATTTTGCTGTAATAATCTGCCACTATGAGATAGTTGTCTGAATCTAAGTGGAACAAATCAGTGCCTAGAGTGTGCCATGGGAGCTCTGGAATCTCTGTTGGTATCAGAGCAGTGGTGGCGCCAGCGGGGTGGGGGGCTCAGGAGGGGCTTAAGCCCCCCCCCCCATCGGTCTGGTCAAGCCCCCCCCCCATTGGTCACAGCTCGTCGGGCAGTCGGACCAAAAAAAAAGGGGGGGCCTAGTTTTCACATCCCAGCCATTTCCAGCCATCTAGAAATCCCATTTTTTTCCTTAAATCTCGTTTTGGGAGGGGGGTGACCCCTCCTACCATACCCAGAATTTTTCAAATTTATTTAAAAATTCAATTTACTCATTGTAAAATCCGTTAATTGGAATTTTATTTTAATATTTTATTGCTGAACATTATTAGAACTTATTTATTGTTGGTATTATACATTGCCGTTTATATTATGCATGTGTTTAAGATTTAATGCAAAGATGAAAAGTGGACCACAACTATATTTACTTTTTTAATGAATAAAATTATCTAATTAAAAGAGATGTATTATTTGTATACTTGTGTCACAATTTCATGTTGTTTTTAACTTAACTGTAGAGTTGCAGAACCACACATTCAAATGGGAAATTTACGAGATGTAACATATACTGTATGTTGAAGCTTGCGGTACACCATGTAGGTAGTTCTGAAAAGAACTGTTGTAGTTGAGAAAGTCTCGACGTTTTGATTGAGTTGCTTCAATCGTCTTCAGGACAATAATATCTGCAGAAACTCCAAACAGAGAAATACTTACTGTATATGTTTGGGTAGAGAGGCTGGATGGGTGATTAGGTGGATAAACTGACCAATGAGAAGACTGCTAGTGAAAGGCTAAAACAAAAGCCATTGTTCACGGAGACAAAGTGGAGGGAACGCAAGATGTAGCTTTCACTTATCTTCCCAACCAGGGGTGGCGCCAGGATTTGCCCGACAGGAAGTGGGCGTGGTCGAGCTTCGATTAAAAGATTTCGAAAGTGATCCAGGGGGTGAAGCCCCCCCAAAATATTGATAATTTAGGGGTTTCAAAGGGTTATCTAATCGATTTTAGAGTCTACTAATATGTAGAAAATACATATATTTTTTTTCCTCCCCGACGAATTGTGTTTTTTCTCCCCAACGCGTGGGCGGGGGGGGGGGGCCCTGTCCCCCCAGTCCCCCGCTGGCGCCACCCCTGTTCCCAACCCTACTCAATCGATGCAATGCTAATATATCATGAAAACCACTCTAATAAAATTAGATTTTCAAGGTTAATACTGAAGATTTTTCTGAAATAAATAATGCACTGCTAATTATAATGTTTAAATATTAGATGATTAACGACGATTAGAAATGAAGTCAGATATGGGCCTATGCAGGATTTTGCACTTCCAGTATGGAGTACACATGCGCTAGTCAGTGGCGGCTCTAGGATATATTTTCTGGGTGGGGGGACTAAGTTGTCCGACAGGGGATACTTGAGCTAGTAGGCTCGAGCTGGAGGAAGGGGTTGAGAGGGGGTACCCCTCCCAAATGAGATTTTTTTGCACTTCCTAGTATGGAGTACACATGCGCTAGTCAGTGGCGGCTCTAGGATATATTTTCTGGGTGGGGGGACTAAGTTGTCCGACAGGGGATACTTGAGCTAGTAGGCTCGAGCTGGAGGAAGGGGTTGAGAGGGGGTACCCCTCCCAAATGAGATTTTTTTGCACTTCCTAGTATGGAGTACACATGCGCTAGTCAGTGGCGGCTCTAGGATATATTTTCTGGGTGGGGGGACTAAGTTGTCCGACAGGGGATACTTGAGCTAGTAGGCTCGAGCTGGAGGAAGGGGTTGAGAGGGGGTACCCCTCCCAAATGAGATTTTTTTGCACTTCCTAGTATGGAGTACACATGCGCTAGTCAGTGGCGGCTCTAGGATATATTTTCTGGGTGGGGGGACTAAGTTGTCCGACAGGGGATACTTGAGCTAGTAGGCTCGAGCTGGAGGAAGGGGTTGAGAGGGGGTACCCCTCCCAAATGAGATTTTTTTGCACTTCCTAGTATGGAGTACACATGCGCTAGTCAGTGGCGGCTCTAGGATATATTTTCTGGGTGGGGGGACTAAGTTGTCCGACAGGGGATACTTGAGCTAGTAGGCTCGAGCTGGAGGAAGGGGTTGAGAGGGGGTACCCCTCCCAAATGAGATTTTTTTGCACTTCCTAGTATGGAGTACACATGCGCTAGTCAGTGGCGGCTCTAGGATATATTTTCTGGGTGGGGGGACTAAGTTGTCCGACAGGGGATACTTGAGCTAGTAGGCTCGAGCTGGAGGAAGGGGTTGAGAGGGGGTACCCCTCCCAAATGAGATTTTTTTGCACTTCCTAGTATGGAGTACACATGCGCTAGTCAGTGGCGGCTCTAGGATATATTTTCTGGGTGGGGGGACTAAGTTGTCCGACAGGGGATACTTGAGCTAGTAGGCTCGAGCTGGAGGAAGGGGTTGAGAGGGGGTACCCCTCCCAAATGAGATTTTTTTGCACTTCCTAGTATGGAGTACACATGCGCTAGTCAGTGGCGGCTCTAGGATATATTTTCTGGGTGGGGGGACTAAGTTGTCCGACAGGGGATACTTGAGCTAGTAGGCTCGAGCTGGAGGAAGGGGTTGAGAGGGGGTACCCCTCCCAAATGAGATTTTTTTGCACTTCCTAGTATGGAGTACACATGCGCTAGTCAGTGGCGGCTCTAGGATATATTTTCTGGGTGGGGGGACTAAGTTGTCCGACAGGGGATACTTGAGCTAGTAGGCTCGAGCTGGAGGAAGGGGTTGAGAGGGGGTACCCCTCCCAAATGAGATTTTTTTGCACTTCCTAGTATGGAGTACACATGCGCTAGTCAGTGGCGGCTCTAGGATATATTTTCTGGGTGGGGGGACTAAGTTGTCCGACAGGGGATACTTGAGCTAGTAGGCTCGAGCTGGAGGAAGGGGTTGAGAGGGGGTACCCCTCCCAAATGAGATTTTTTTGCACTTCCTAGTATGGAGTACACATGCGCTAGTCAGTGGCGGCTCTAGGATATATTTTCTGGGAAGATCTTAACCGTCTCTCTCAAATTTAAGACCTCTCTCTTATACACATCTAGATGTGTATAAGAGACAGATATATATATATATATAGTATCCCCTCCCCCACTTTTGGTATGTCATGCTTAAAGTTATATTATACACACTATTTACTAACATACAAAACAGATCAATGACACAAAATTTATTTCAAAGAAGTACTGGGACCGACTGGTACTGCCATCTGGGCCAAATTTCATTGCTGTGTGTAGGCCTAGACACCATATGCTACAGTATGTCCCTACTAAAATCAAAATCAAAATCTTGATGAGGTGAGACTTTTTTTATACCTGGAATAAAGGTGGAATAAAAATAGAAATAAAATTTAGTTTTCTTATTTATCAAATAGTTTTGCCAAAATTATCCAGACTTGGTGAATGTAAAATAGGATAATTAGTAAATGCTTCAAATTTTATTTAAAAAAAAAACCCACACTTGAAATAAATATTTTACTGTAAAATTACAGTATGGACGCTGACTGGAAAATATGGACTTTAATATGCTCCATTATCTTTTCATGTTGTCTGGTATCTATGGAGTAATATCATAATGTTGACTACAGCCTGTCAATACCTAACACTAGATATCAGGACAATTAGACGTGTCAGATGTCATGTAAAAATCTTTCACACCCTCTTTGCGATTTTGTTTTACAGAAAATCTGTTCTAAATGTTGTAGATAAAAAAAATGCATTTTACCATAATATTGTTCCATAAGGAATAATGTTGAGTTCATTATGTTGCACAAAATTAAGGCCTAAGTAAATATCATCATTAGTGTTAGTTTAATATAATTTTTTTTTAATTGTTTCTGTATCTGCAATGTAACATCAGGGAATACAAAGTGCTTGATCATAGAAAATATGTGAGTTCTCGCCACAAAATGAGTCTCATCGTTAGAAATTCAAAAATTGAGTTTATATTATATTATATTGGGTAGATCACATTACTGTATAAGCTTTCATTTGGTCTTTGAATGGCTTCCCTACTATAAGTAAATCCAGAGATGTGAGCATTTAAAGTTTAAGTGTATAAGAACCACGTTTTGAGAAAATCGACCTCAAAGATAAACTAACCTGTACAAATAATATGAATAGAATTACAGAATATGTGCAGAGAACACTGTCTTGGCAAGAAAATTTGCTTAAAGAGTATACAATCATAAAATATAAGTATCAAGTTATTCAAAAACAATAAAATCAACATTTTGTAAAAATGTTGACTTTGGCCTGTTTTGGTGAATATGTCAATATGATTTCACCAATGATGCATCTCATTTCATGGTGAGACCTAACATATGTCTAAAAAAAAAAGCTCATAAAGGTGGGATTCATGTGTAGATTCTACAGTAGTTTCTAAATACTATAAATTTTAATGAGTAAAAAAAAAATGGGTATTACAGTAACTATGAACAAAATGTTGAGCAACTTATTCATTAGCTTTAAAAAATCTAATAATCGTTAAGTTAGAATTGTTCTATCATTGGTATAATAATAATTGGATTACCAAGATACGGTAATGGGATGGGGCTACAGTACTCTATGCATCTCCCTGGCTCACTTGCAAACTTACCAATCACATGGCCCTCACCCATTCTCCATGCTCAGTGCCTGAAATTTTCTTGTGATCATGGTACATCTTGAATATTTCCATTTTTTTTTTTTTTTCTATTCTGTATTTGAGATAGCTATAATTTTATGTTCTGTTTATTTTTATGTCAAAGTATCTTTCCAGATAAGGTAGTTAGTACATAGATTGTATAATACAAGTTTCTTGGCGTGTATACTATTATACTATCTTATCTGAGATTAATCAGTGGTCTTTAGATTAATAATTCTTTATTTGTTTATATTTTATATTCTAAAAATTTATTTCTATTCTTTATACTTTAATGACTGGCTAACCCATTGTGAGCC